CCCCCCCCCCCCCCCGCGTGGCTAGGATCTACAGCTAGTCAGCTCTCTGAGGGAGTGGGGCTGGGGTATAACTTCCCTTGGATGTCCTGTAAGGATGTTTCCAATTATAGAGTGGAGAGGGAATCGTCAAGGGAACTAAGTGGGCTGAAAAGGTGGTCATGGGAGTTCTGTGTGCCAAGTTTGGTTCAATTCCATCATTGGTGGAGTTCAGAATGCTCTTTGATTGTAAGTGAACTATAAATTTCAGCAACTACAACATCCAAATGACAAAATCAACCCCCAACCCCACCAGTATTCAAATCTGGGCGTATCGGGTATTTCTGCCAAATTTGGTCCAGTGAATGAAAATACATCCTGCATATGAGATATTAATATTATGATTCATAACAGTAGCAAAATGACAGTTGGGAAGTAGCAACAAAAATAATTTGATGGTAGGAGGTCACCACAATGAGAGGAACTGTATTAAGGGGTCGCAAGATTTGGAAGGATGAGAACCACTGCTTTAAAGCAATGCTTATGCCTGATCGACATTTACCATTTAACGTACTTCAAGCTATCTCCAAAACACACTGGCTAGATTTTGCACACTGCAAACATGCACTGCAGCATGCTTTAAGCCCAGGAATCCAACTCAAGTTGGGAAAAGTTTGAAATGAAACCCTTAATATGCTCTGTAATGTAAACAACATCATACACGGTTCAGGTCCAGCCTATCTTCGTGACCACATTTCTCCCATGAAATAGTGCGGGCTCTAAGATCTGCCGGGAAGGCCTTCCTTTCAGTCCCGCCTCCATCTCAAATGCAATTTGCGCTGACGAGTGAGGGGGCCTTCTTGGTGGTGGCCCCCTGACTCTGGGTCACCCTCCCAAGGGAACTTAGGCAAGCCCCTAAACTACACCGTTTTCGGAGTTAAAAACTTTGCTTTTTCAGCAGGCCTTTAATAGTGTTTAAACATTAACCAGAACTGATGGCCAATCACTTAGCACTTCATATCTATATTCTGTGTGCAATCACCTCGTCTGCTATATTGATTACATAGACCTTTTAACTGACTCTATTTTAATAGAAGTTGTTTTACCCAATTTATATGCCTAGTTTATGTTATGTATTATTGTTTTCATATGCTGATGGATTTTATTTTATATATTATGTATTCTATGTATGGCACCTTTGTGTGTTATTTTGTAAGCCGCCCCAAGTCCCTATGGGAGATGGTGGTGGGGTATAAATAAAGTATTATTATTATTATTATTATTATTATTATTATTACTACTACTTATTATACACTGAAATTGGCTGCACAGAATGTGAATTGGCATGTGGACCCCCAAAACGCTCCACTGGGGGCTTTGGATGTGGCAACAGAATCTCTGTCTTGTGGCAGGTGTATCCATTTGTGAGTTGAAGGGGACCCACTCTTCCTCCCCCACCAATTTCTGGACAGTTGTCCATCCTTGATATTTTCAAGTTGAAATTCGGCACTTCATATGTTTTTTATCTGTTTTATTTTTATGTGTTTTACTTGCTTGTGTATTTTAATTGTTTTTATAGTTTGATGGGGTACATCAAACTGCATTGAGTCGCCTGTTAAGGGCTGAAAAATGCGGTATAGAAATAAAGCAAATAAATAAATAAATAAATACATTCTCTTGGACATCTCAGCAGCTTTCGATACCATCGATCATGGTATCCTTCTGGGACGACTCTCTGGGATAGGCCTTGGAGGCACGGCTCTGTCGTGGCTCCGGTCCTTCTTGGAGGGTCGTTCCCAGATGGTGAAGCTGGGAGACACCTGCTCGGATCCCTGGCCTTTGACCTGTGGGGTCCTGCAAGGTTCTATTCTGTCCCCCATGCTTTTTAACATCTACATGAAACTGCTGGGAGAGGTCATCTGGAGTTTTGGAGTTGGGTGCCATCTCTATGCAGATGACACACAACTCTACTACTCTTTTCCACCTAACTCCAAGGAAGCCCCTCAGGTGCTGGACGAGTGCCTGACCACTGTGGCTGTCTGGATGAGGAGGAACAAGCTGAGGATCAATCCCGACAAGACAGAGGTCCTCCTGGTCGATCGTATGCTGGATCAGGGTATAGGGTGGCAACCTGTGCTGGACGGGGTTGCACTCCCCCTGAAGTCACAGGTCCGCAGTCTGGGTGTCCTCCTGGATTCATCAATTATGCTTGAAGCTCAGGTGTCGGTGGTGTCCGGGAGGGCATTCGCACAATTGAGACTCATGCGCCAGCTGCGATCATACCTTTGAAGTCTGATCTGGCCGGGGTGGTCCATGACTTAGTCACCTCCAGATTGGATTACTGTAATGCACTCTACGTGGGGCTGCCCATGAAAACGACCTGGAAATTTCAATTGGTACAATGGACAGCATCCAGGTTACTAACTGGTGCTTCTTACAGAGAGCGGTCAACCCTCCTGTTTAAGGAGCTCCACTGGCTGCCGTTCATTTTCTGGTCCCAATTCAGGGTGCAGGTTCTTACTTACAAAGCCCGGAACGGTTTGGGACCCGCCTACCTGCGTGACCGCATTTCTGTGTACGAACCCACAAGATCTCTTTGATCATCTGGAGAGGCCCTGCTCACGCTCCCACCTCCTTCGCAGGCACGATTGGTGGGGACGAGGGAAAGGGCCTTCTTGGTGGTGGCCCCCCGACTCTGGAACTCACTTCCCAAGGACATCAGACACGCCCCAACTCTGGCAGTCTTTAGGAGGAGCCTGAAAACATGGTTGTTCCAGTGTGCCTTCCCAGAATAAGGAAAATTCTCAGCAATATGCCCTCAAAATGCACTTTACCACTGATTTAGGACTGACTACATTCCCTCATCTCTCTCTGAAAAACCCTATCCCAGTTATATCCTACCTTGTTCATGCCCAGCATTATTTTTAAATTTTTAAATTATTACATTTGGCCCTGCCATAGATTTTTAAATGCTTGGGTGTTACTGTTATTGTTTATTGTTTATTTTTTGTTTATGTGATTTATATTAATTGTTTTGTATTGATTGTTTTTGTTATTGCCTTTTTTTTTACTGATGAACTGTGGGCTTGACCTCATGTAAGCTGCACAGAGTCCCTTGGGGAGATGGTAGCGGGGTATAAATAAAGTATTATTATTATTATTATTATTATTATTATTATTATTATTATTATGTCTATATGCGGCATTGAATTTTTGCCGGAGTTTGTAAGCCACCTTGAGTCGCCTGTGGGGTGAGAGAGGCGGGTTATAGATGAAGTAAATAAATAATAAATAAACAAATTTGAAATACTGACAAAAATTAGTAGTTTGAACAAAATAGTAGAATTTAGCCCATGGACTGACAGTTCCCTTTCTCTGAAATAAAGACAAAGATTTACATCCTCATACTAGTGCTTAGTTTTAACGGTTTCTGTTATTGGAGTGCATTCCCTCCTATAGGAAAACTTTGCTTCACAACCTCCACTAAAACGAGCTCTCCTCCGCAAATAATCTGTCCTTGTTTATTTCGTGTTTATCTCACCTGAGTTTTTAATCTGTTTCTACCCAGCTTTCTTTTCTCCATTACATGTAGCTTGCCCATGTTATTGTGATTGCGTTTATTGTAATTCTATATTGCTATGTTGTCTTTTGTTTTATGTGATTGTGTTATTATTGTTTATTATTTGTGTTTTTGGTTTTGTTTTATTTCATGTAATTGTTGTTATGGGCTTGGTCTCATGTAAGCCGCACCGAGTCCCCATCGGGGAGATGGAGCGGGGTACAAATAAAGTTTATTATTTATTATTATTATTATCTGAAGTCAGGAAGTTACAAAACTAGACAAATTAGATTATTCGTGGGTTTCATATTCTTGGAGACTTTGCTGTGTTGATAGTATTGTGTTGTATAAGTTTGTATTGCTTAAGGAGCTAATGAAACGTGATGAGAAACTATCTCCAATTTGTTTGCTTAGAGCAAGGGCTTCAAATGCATTGTCATGGAAGGCTACATCAGCCTTATGGCCGTTGAATCAGTTGATGGAGGATTTGTGGTTACAGAAGGTTAACTAGAATATTGTTTTACATAGTGGTTGGTGCTCTGTAGTTTTAACCCAGTTTGGGTCACCAGGTGTTATTTAACAACAACACCCATCACTTTTGATTATCTGTCATGCACACTGGGGATGATGGGAATTGCAACCCCATCTCCCTTTTGGCTCTGAGGTCGGGGAAAGGCTAAAGGATATTCTCAAGTCAGACATCCTATCCACAAGTCTTGTATATAAATTCACACACACACCCCCACAATCATGATGAAGCAGAACAAACTAACACAACTCCCATCAGCTCTAGTCATGATGTCTAATGATGAGAAATACAGGAGTTGTAATCCAGCATCTGAAAGGCCACATAGGAAGAGATTTGGCCTTGGGTTTGACACCGATGGCTTGGGTATTTATGCTCTACCTGCAAAGTGGTTTACAATTACAACTGTGTTCCTCTTTAGTGGGTAAGTGCCAGAGAGAAATTCCAGCAAGCGGCTGACCTCATTGATGCAGAACAACGGATGAAGAAGTCAATGTGGGGCCAGTTCTGGTCTGCACACCAGAGATTTTTCAAGTACCTCTGCATTGCATCCAAAGTGAAGAGAGTGGTGCAGCTGGCCCGCGAAGAAATAAAAAATGGCAAAGTAAGTTTTAGGCAAACCTTGACTAAGCTGCTTTCAGATTGTTGACTTGTTCTCTTAGAAACTTGGGAGTTGGGGTTTGGGTAAAACTCTGTATCTGGAATCACTTAAATCTCAGGAGTATGTGCTCTCTTTTCTCCTTCCAGTGTGTGGTCATTGGGTTGCAGTCCACTGGGGAAGCAAGAACCTTAGAAGCCTTGGAAGAAGGTGGCGGCGAACTGAATGACTTTGTTTCTACAGCAAAGTAAGACCTTTATCAGTTATGAAAGTCTTGTGAGAGATTACTTTTAAAATGTTCTTAAAGTTCAAAGCATAAACAACAATACATAATCTCCCCATGTACTTAGTTTTCAATGTGGGACAAAAGAAGGCAACTCAAGGATGGAGGAGGAATTGGATGAGTGAATGAACTGTTTGTTGTTCAGGTCATTTCCAACTTATGGCTACTTTAAGGCAAGCACATTGCAGGGTTTTCTTGGAGATACTGAGGGATCGTAACTTGGCCAGGATCACCCATGAGTTTCCATGGCTGAGTGGGTATTCAAACCTTTGTCTTCCAGAATCTTCGGACCAACACTCAAACTATTACACCATGTTGAAATGCAAAGCTAAATATTACATAAATAACGGGGTTGAAAATTCCTGAGAGAAAGAGGTCTTATGGGTGTTTCTTTAATGAAAGAAAGATAACTTAAGCATTCTTTTTTTTCCCTAATTCTGCAGGGGAGTCTTCCAGTCTCTCATTGAAAAACATTTCCCAGCACCTGACAGAAAGAAGCTTTTTAGCTTGTTGGGAATAGACTTGTCTGTTCACAGTAGTAACAATTCTCCCAGGGACAGTCCTTGCAAGGAAGACAAAGTAAAGAAACGCAAAGGTAAGACAGTGTTGTTCCCTTTATCACAGTGACTCCCTGTAAACCCTTTTAATTTATTAATTTATTTTCCATGTCAGGAGCGACTTGAGAAACTGCAAGTTGCTTCTGGTGTGAGAGAATTGGCCATCTGCAGGGACATTGCCCAGGGGATGCCCAGATACTATCATGTTTTACCTCATTGTGGGAGGCTTCTCTCATGCCCCCACTTGGAGAGCTGGAGCCAACAGAGGAAGCTCATCCACGCTCTCCCCAGATTCGAACCTCTGACCTGTTAGCCTTCAGTCCTGCTGGCACAAGAGTTTAACCCATTGCGTCACTGGGGGCTCTGCTTATTTATTTACTTATTTATCTCATACATTTATATCTCATCCTTCTCACCCACAAAGGGTGGCCTCACAACTGGCAACCATTAGCTGCCCAAAGACAATTATTTATATTTAAAACAAATAGTTAATATATATATATATAAAACCATCCAATTAAAATTATGCAAGGTCAAGTCATAACCCAGGTTTGTCCATTGTCAGTCAAATAAATCATTCTCATTGTTATCACTGTGTCTGCTGCTCAAATGCTTGGTCCCAGAACCATGTTTTAAGTTTTTCCTAGAGGATTGGAGGGAGGGTCCCAATCTGATTTAATTAGGTAGGGCGTTCCACAGCCGGGGAGCCACCACTGAGAAGGCCTGTCTCTCGTCCTCATCAACCGCACTTGTGAGGGTGGTGGGATCGAGAGCAGGGCCTCTGCTGATGCTCTTAACCTCCTAGGTGGATCATAGTGGGAGATACGTTCAGACAAGTAAACAGGGCCAGAACTGTTCAGGGCTTTATAGGCTAATGCCAGCACTTTGAATTGTGTTCAGTAGCAAATTGGCAGCCAATGGAGCTGACGTAAAAGGGGTGGTATTCTCCCTGTATGCAGCTCCGGTAAGCAATCTGTCTGCTGCCCGTTGGAGTACTTGAAGCTTCAGAACAGTCTTCAAAGGCAGCCCCACGTAGAGCGCGTTGCAGTAATCTAATTGGGATGTAACAAGAACATGGACCACTGTGGCCAAGTCAGACTTCCCAAGGTACGGGTGCAGCTGGCGCACAAGTTTTAATTGTGCCAAAGCTCCCCTAGACCCCTCCCCCCACCTGGGGTTCCAGGCTCAACAATGAATCTAGGATCACTACCAAGCTGAGAAACTGCGCCTTCAGAGGGAGTGTAACCCCATACAGCACAGGTTGTAACCCTATGCCCTGTTTGGCCTTTTGACTGACCAGGAGGACCTCTGTCTTGTCTGGATTCAATTTCAATTTCTTCACCCTCATCCAGTTTGACACAGCTACCAAGCACCGATTCAGAACCTGAACAGCCTACTTAGTAACAGGTGGAAAGGAGTGTCAGATTTGAACATCATCTGCATACAGATGACATTGTATTCCCAAACTCTGAATTGTCTCCCCCAACCGCTTCATGTAGATGTTAAACAACATGGGGGATAGTACTGAGCCCTGTGCGACCCCACAGTACAATGGATGTGGGGCCAAGCAGGTGTCTCCCAACAACACCTTTTGGGAACAACCCCGCAGAAAGGACCGGAGCCACTGCAGAACAGTACCTCCAAGCCCCATACCCGCAAGGCATCCCAGAAGGATACCGTTATCAATGGTATTGAAGGCCGCTGAAAGGTCCAGGAGAACCAACAGGAACACACTCCTCCTGTCCAGTTCCTACTAAGGTGACCAAGACTGTTTCAGTGCCATGTCCCAGCCTAAATCTAGACTGTGCCAGATCTAGATAATCAGTGTCTTCCAAGAATCCCTGGAGTTGCGAGGTCACCACACATTCCATGACTTTGCTGAAATAGGGGAGATTGGAAACCGGATGAAAGTTGACTAAGTGGGATCCAGTGATGGTTTCTTCAACAGCGGTTTTATAACAACTTCTTTTAAGCTGACTGGAATCTTGCCTTCCTGTAAGGAGGCATTAACCACCACCTTGACCCACTCTGCCAAACCTCCTCTGGCTTCCTTTATCAGCCAGGACGGCCGGGGTCTAGGATGCATGTGGTTGCTCTTGCCTCTCCAAGGATCTTGTCGAGCTGCACCAATTGAAATGAATCCATTAAAACTGGACAAGCAGGTGTTTGTGTTACATCCTCAAAGACCGGTGTTAAAATGGTGTCGGAATGGGTCAGAGCAATTTTGTTCGTGAAGAACTAAGCAAATGCATACAATACATGCAATATGTTTTCATGTGAAATTTTCTGATACTTAGTCGTCTACAATCTACATGGTAAATCTGAGTACCCAGGATGGCCAGGTTTGTAAATGAAAAAACCACCACCATTCAAGATTTAATTCTTGATGGGCAAGCAGACCTGGTGTGTATAATGGAGACCTGGCTGGATGAGGCTGGGGGGGGGGGGGTAAACCCCATCCTGCAGTCAACCATGTTTGAGTGTGTCCACCTGAGGATTGGAGGTTGGGACAGAATAGGGATTCTGTTAGTGTACCAACCACCCCGCTGCACTACAGTCTCCCTACCTGAGCTAGCTGAGGTGGTCTCGAACCTGGCACTGGAGTCTCAACGGCTTATAGTGCTGGGGGACTTCAATATCCATGCAGATTCCACCCTATCAGGAGCGGCTCAGGACTTCATGTCTTCCATGGCAACCATTGTGCTGGACACACATTAGATCTGGTTTTCTGCCAGGGATAGGAGGAAGGTGGCCAGGTAGAGGAGTTAACCATCTTTCCGTTGCCATGGACAGACCACTTCCTGATTTAGGGTCACTGCACCCTTTAACCTCTGCAGGGGTGGAGGGCCCATTAAGGTGGTCCGCCCCAGGAGGCTTATGGATCTGAATGGATTCCTGATGGTTCTTGGGGATTTCTCTGTCTCCTTGGTGGTGATTCTGTCGATGCTCTGGTTACTCTCTGGAATAGGGAAATGACTTGGGCAATAGACATGATCGCTCCAGAATGTCCCCTCTCGAGTAGCCGAGCTAAACAATCTTCTTGGTTCAACGAGGAGCTGGCAGCAATGAAGCAAATGAAGAGGAGACTAGAGCGCGTGTGGCAGAAAAAGCCTAATGAGTCAAATCGAACATGGCTAAATGCCTATCTAAAGGCATACGCCGCAGTAATAGAGGCTACAAGGAAATCTTTCTATGCAGCCAATACTGCGTCTGCAAAGAACCATCCGGCAGAGCTGTTCAAAGTAGTCAGGACTGTTAAATCCTGTCACCCAAGACAAGATCCCTGACAACTCGACAGCCCGTTGTGAAGCATTTGTTCGGTTCTTCTCAGACAAAGTCGCTTTGATCCGCTCTGGCTTTGACCCCATATCAACGGCAGTCTCTGAGGGTGTAATACGAGCACCTGCTTGTCCAGTTTTAATGGATTCATTTCAATCTGTTCAGCTCGAGGATGTGGACAAAATTCTTGGAGAGGCGAGAGTGACCACATTCATCCTAGACCCCTGCCCAACCTGGCTGATAAAGGAAGCCAGAGGGATTTAGCAGGGTGAGTGAACGTGGTGGTCAGTGCCTCCTTACAAGAGGGCAAATTTCTAGCGAGCCTAAAAGAGGCTGTTATAAAACCGCTGTTGAAAAAACCATGATTGGACCCCACCCAATTGAACAACTTTCAGCCAGTTTCTAATCTCCCCTTATTGGTCAAAGTTGGAACGTGTGGTGGCCTCACAGCTCCAAGGATTCTTGGTAGACACTGATTATCTAGATCCGGCATAATCTGGCTTTAGGCCGGGACATGGTACCGAAACAACCTTGGTAGCCTTAGTAGATGATCTTCACCAGGAACTAGACAGGGGGAGTGTGTCCCTGTTGGTTCTGCTAGACCTCTCAGCGGCCTTTGATACCGTCGATCACGGTATCCTTTTGGGACGCCTCAGGGACATGGGACTTGAGGGTCCTGTTCTGCAGTGGCTCCGATCCTTCCTTGAGGGACGGTTCCAGAAGGTGTTGCTGGGCGATATCTGCTCATCCTCACAACCATTGACTTGTGGGGTCCCGCAGAGGGCAGTACTGTCCCCCATGTTGTTTAACATTTACATGAAGCTGCTGGGAGAGTTCATCCGGAGTTTTGGGGTCAGATGGCATCTGTATGCTGATAATGTTCAGCTCTATCACTCTTTCCCATCTGTCACTAAGGAGACTGTGCAGGTCCTGAACCGGTGCTTGGTCGCTGTGTCGGTCTGGATGAGGGCGAACAGATTGAAACTAAATCCAGACAAGACAGATGTACTCCTGGTCAGTCTAAAGGCCAAACAGGGGATAGGGTTACAGCCTGTGTCAGCCCCCTGAGGACACAGGTTCGCAGTTTGGGAGTGATCCTGGACTCATTGTTGAGCCTGGAACCCCAGGTCTCGGCAGTAGCCAGGAGAGCTTTTGCACAATTAAAACTTGTGCGCCAGCTGCGCCCTTTCCATGAGAAGTCTGACTTGGCCACAGTGGTCCACGCTCTTGTTACATCCCGAATAGACTACTGCAACGGACTCTACATGGGACTGCCTTTGAAGACTGCCCGGAAGCTTCAACTAGTCCAACGGTCGGTAGCCAGATTGCTCACCGGAGCAACGTCCAGGAAACATACAATTCCTTTGTTACGCCAACTCCACTGGCTGCTGATCAGCTTCTGAGCACAATTCAAAGTGCTGGTTTTAACCTTTAAAGCCTCAACGGTTCTGGCCCAGACTACCTGTCCAAACGTTTCTCTTGCCACGAACCATAAGATCTTCAGGAGAGGCCCTGCTCTCGATCTCACCACTATTGCAAACGTGGTTGATGGGGACGAGAGACAGGGCCTTCTCATCAGTGGCCGGCCACCTATGGAACACCCTTCCTAGAGATATCAGATTGGCCACCTCCCTCTTGTCTTTTAGAAGGAAAATCAAGATCTGGTTATGGGACCACCAAGTGAGCAGCAAGTGGAAAAAGATCACACAACTTATGGCAATGAATTGACCCGGACTTTGGATTTCGATTTAATGGATGTGTCTTAATTAATTGTTTTAATTGTTGTTTTAATATTTTTAATATTTTGATTGTACCGTGGTTGTTTTTATGATGCTAGCATCGTATGATGCTTTTGTTAGGACGCCCTGAGTCCCCCTTCGAGCGGAGAAGGGTGGGGTATAAATATAGGAAATAAATAAATAAATAAATAAATAAATAAATTTGGTAAGAAACAGGACTGAGGGATGTCCCATCTGCCATAGCCAGCATAACCCTTTAAAGCCTAACAACTCTGGAGTGACAATTTGTACCCATCACTTTCATAGACCATATATGTATGTGTGTGTGTGTATTTATATTTATATTACATACTAGCTTGGGTACCCGGCATTGCTCAGGTTATTTGAGTCAATTTTTAATTGTACAAAATGCATAAGGTGGGTAAACTACAACTCCCATCCTGCTAGGTTAACCCTGAAAAACTCAATCAGTACTTAAAGTTTGTTATGTTGGGCAAGTTTGCTCTAGATGCATCATCGATGGGGTTCAGTGTTCTCTCTGGCTGTAGGGTAAACTACAACTTCCACTATGGTGAGTCAGTCTCCTCAAACACCTAGACTAGATTCAGTTGGTCATGGGGGTTCTGTGTGCCAAGGTCCATCATTGGTGCAGGTCAGTTTCTCTGGTAGTGGGTGAACAAAAACTCCCAGAAAGGAAGGTCAGTTCCCTCCAAACCCTTCCAGTAATCGAATTTCAACGTATCAGGTATGTGTGCCAAGTTTGATCCAGATCCATCAGTGTTTGGGTTTACAGTGCTCTCTGGATGTAGGTGAACTACAACTCCCCCAAATCAAGGTGAATTGTCCTTTATTTGAATGACCTCCAATATTTTTTGCTGGTCATGGGGACTCTTGTGTGCTAAGTTTGATCCAATTCCATCTTTGGTGGAGTTCAGAATGGTCTTTCATTGCAGGTGAACTATAAATCCCAGTACCTACAACTCCAAAATGTCCAGGCCAATTCCCCTCAAAACCCACCAGTGTTCAAATGTGGACATATCGGGTATTCATGCCAAGTTTGGTCCAAATCCCTCATTGTTGGGTTCATAGTGCACTCTGGTTGTAGGTAAACTACAAATCCTATAAATCCCTCCAAAAACCTCCAGTATTTTTTGTTGGTCATGGGGGTTCTGTGTTCCAAGTTAGTTCCAGGTCCATCATTGGTGAAAATTCAGAGTGCTCTTAGATTGCAGGTGAACTATACATCCAGTACCTACAATTCCTATAAATCATGGTGAATACTCCCCAAACTTCCCTAGTATGTTGAGTTTCTGATGAATTCCTCTGTTTGCTGTACGCCATAGAAAAGAATAGTAAAGGGTTAAGGGAGAGGCAATGGGTGGGGACATGCAAATTCCACACCAATGGAGAAAGAAACACTGGGATGTCTGTGGTGGAGGAAACACATAAAATCTAGGATGAAATTGTCCCCATATAAAATACATCATTTGAGTGGTGGACAGTATTGAGTTTGTGGAGGACATTGGCAGGGCTCTTGTGCGTGTTTATGGTGCTCTCTATAACTTGCAATGTTAATGGAGAGAGGAGGGCCTCCTGAGAAGTGGGAGCTATCACTATTTGTGGAAGTGGGAGCCTGTCTCTGTAAGTGGGCACCCTTGTCACTTACACACATACATATTTTCACTTTTATTATTTATATAAATAAAAATGTAATGTTCATTTGTGGGATTAACAGAACTCAGAAACCACTGGACCAATTGACACCAAATTTGGACACAAGACACTTAACAGCCCAATGTATGTCCTTCACTCAAAAAAACCAATGAAAACATAAAGCATAAAGGACTTCTAAACTGCATGTTCACAAAGGAGAAACTACATGCCCACAAAGAGACCCATGGCCACACCCTCTCCTCCTCGCGGGGAAACAGACGTCTGTTAAAGCCTTAGGAGCCAGGCGTGCGTGCACGGCCACACACACACAGAGAGACTGTTCCCTTCTTCACCAACTCTTTCTTGCTTCCCTCCCTTCACTGACGGAAGGAGGAAAGAAAGAGGCAGAAACAAGTTTTATTTTTGAATTCTTCCATTCCTCTGCGTCCTGCTTCCTTCTTCCTCCTCCAACTCTTTCTTTCCTCCCTCTTCTTCTCTCTCATTTCTGTAGWTCCTTCTGCTTTCTTTTTCCTTTCTGTTTGACCTGCTCAGCTGTCTCCGGCAACACGAGCACACACTTAACTCTCTCTCTCTCTCTCCTATTAACATCCAGACCAGGAGGTAGCTGCCTCTGCCACACTTCACTCCACTCCCTCACTCCCTTCCCTTCTTTCCTCCCTCCCTTTCCTTTTCTTCCTTCCTTCCCCTTCCTTTCCTTCCCCTCTCCTTCCTTCCAGTCTCTCCCTCCTTCCTTCTCCTTCCTTTCCTTCTTCCTTTCCTTCCTTTCCTCCCTCCCTCCTTTCCTTTCCTCCCTTCTTCCTCCCTTCTCCTTCCTTTCCTTCCTTTTTCCTTCCTTCTTGTCCCTCCTTCTTTCCATTCCTTCCTTCGTTCCCTCCTCCCCTCCCTCCCTCCCTTCCTTTTTCCTCCCTTCCTTCTTCCTTTCCTTCTTTCTATGTAAGATATAAATACAATATTTTATATATTGTTATATAGATTACTAGAATTTGTTACTATTATATATTACTATATAATACAACTTAAAGAGACTTACAGAATAGAGTTGGAAGGGACAGTCAAGTAACGAGAGAAGGAGGGAAAGAGGGAAGGAATGAAGGAGGGAAAGGGGGATGGAAAGAAGGAAAGAAAGAAAGAAAGAAAGAAAGAAAGAAAGGCAGAGAAGCAAGGAAGGAGAGAAGGAAATAAAAAAGTGAAAGGAAAAAGACAAGGAAGGAAGGATGTAACCAAAGAGCAAAGAAAGGGAGGAAAGAAACAGGTAGAGATGGAAGAAAGAAGAAGATAAATAGGAAGGGAAAGAAAAAGAGGAAAGGAAGGAGAGAAAGAGGGAGGGAAGGTTGGCCACAGCAACGCGTGGCAGGTACAGCTAGTGTGTATAAATAAGATATATAATTTCAGTCAATGACCAGCATTAAAACAAATAGTAAAAGGTAAGTAAAACATAAGTTTAGTCATTAAAGTTTAAAAGCATAGGTAAAAAACAATATTAAGCATGAAAGTTAATAAAATAATAATGGTATAGACAGTAAGTGTGGGATAAACTTTACATCCTGATAATACCTGCTTTTATTCCCTTTTGCATGAAAAAGGTGAAGAAATATCCCGGGAAACCAAAAAAGCCCGTAAAACTGGTGGATTAGCTGGCAGCAGTTCGGATGAGAGCTATAGTGAGTCAGATGCATCTGACAACGAAGAAAGTGATAACGAGAGCTCCCACTTTTTAAGTTCCGGAGACGACGATGACTTCAACCCATTTAGGGATGAATCTAGTGAAGATGATGAAGATGGTAAGCCATGATGTGTCTCTTATTTACAACTAATTTCGTTAAAATAATACCGTGTGTTGCGATAATACTACCTGAACTAGAGCAAGAGTTAGCAAAGTGTGGCCTTCAGCCTGCATAGGGTCTGGCTCCCAAATTCATCCTAGGGTTTGTGTTTCCAGCACATTTCCACTCTCGATCCACTTTAGACCCAGGAGATGCCATGTTGAAATGAGTAGTGAACAGGAAGCTACTGTTGCTCAGTTCTGGGATTCTAGAAGTAGCCTGTCCTGGCCCAAAAATAGCAAGGGACATCCCCAAACTAAGGTGAAAATACTCCCCATGCTCCCTTGAGCAGTGTTTCTCAACCTTCCTAATGCCACAACCCCTTAATACAGTTTCTCATGTTGTGGTGACCCTCAACCATAAAATTATTTTCGTTGCTACTTCACAATTGTTGTTTTGCTACTGTTATGGATCGTAATGTAAATATCTGATATGCAGGATGTATTTTCATTCATGGACCAAATTTGGCAGAAATACCCGATATTCCCACAGTGGGGTTGAGCGGGGGGATTGATTTTGTCATTTGAGAGTTGTAGTTACTGGGATGTGTAGTTAACCTACAATCAAAAAGCATTCTGAACTCCACCAATGATGGAACTGAACCAAACTTAGCACACAGAACTCCTATGACCAACAGAAAATACTGGAAGGGTTTGGTGGACATTGACCTTGTGTTTGAGAGTTGTAGTTCACCTAAATCCTGAGAGCACTGTGGACTCAAACAATGATGGATCTGGCCCAAACTTGGTACAAATACTCAATATGCCCAAATGTGAACACTGGTGGCGTTTGGGGAAAATAGACCTTGCCATTTGGGAGTTGCAGTTGCTGGGATTTATAGTTCACCTACAATCAGAGCATTCTGAACCTCACCAACGAGAGAATTGGGTCAAACTTACCACACATAATCCCCATGACCAACAGAAAATCCTGTGTTTTCTGATGGTCTTTGGCAACCCCTTTGGCACCCCCTCACAACCCCCCCCCCCCAAGGGTCCCGATCCCTAGATTGAGAAACACTACCCTAGAGGGGTATCTGCGAGAAAAATTGGGTGTTTTTCCCTCCCAAGATAAGATGAAAGGTTATGGCCCTCCAGGTTTTGGGACTTCTCATGACCTCCAAGTTCTCTTGGTGGGCTAATGCGGCCTCTTAGTCTTTCAGAGTCTCCCAATTCTAGAGATCTTAGAAACTTAGCATTTTCTGAAGCCATTCAACAACTAGTTCCAGTATGTGGTTTCATATGTTTGCAGAGCACTCTTTTGCCTTTGCTCCTTTTTTTCCTTCATCTTCAGACCCTTGGCTAATCAGAAAAGAGCATAAGAAGAATAAAGAAAAGAAAAAGAAGAAAAGCATAGACCCAGATTCTATTCAGAGTGCCTTATTAGCATCTGGTCTGGGATCCAAACGGCCCAGTTCTCTCTCTTCGACAGTTGTAACACCTACTACTACTACTATATCTGGTATGTTTAATGTGAAACTTCTGGGTAGTATTTTGAAGGTGGGATAATCCCAGTACTGCAAGCAACACTCCATGTATTTACACTGCTCCCCTCCCTCTTTTTATAATCTGCAGCTAATACTAATACCCATACCAGCTATGTAACAAGTCAGGATGCTGTTGAAAGAGCCCAGCAGATGAAAAAAGAATTGCTGGATAGACTGGAAAAACTGTCCGAAGATCTTCCACCGAATACACTGGATGAGCTTATCGATGAACTGGGTGGTCCTGAGAATGTGGCAGAGGTAGGTGCTGGGATTTGAATGGGCTGAGAGGGAGATCTGCCTATTATTTGGGGATGAGAAGGGGATAACAGTTGAAATTAAAGCAGGATAGCCAGGATGTGTATATAAGGATAGCTTTGAAATTTTCTTTAATTACTTCATGTTCTCATAAATCTTTGTCTTCATTGATCTGAGCACTTTAGAAATTTGGAGATTTACAATTTAGTGTGGAATTTATGACCCAGCTTGCCCTCAGATCATATCTCCCTTGACTAGAGGCACTAGTCTTTGCCAAATCTTAAAGTTATATGCTGCTTTGGCCTTAACAGCTCTTCTAAATAAACTTGTTACTTCTGGGTGTCTTTTACCAATAAATTTAACATCCCCGTGTAATATTTATAATCCCTGTGATTTTTCTTGGCTTATCTGTCTTTCAACCAAGTTGCCTTAGGAGAGCATGTGAGGCTAAACAATACTATATTAAATGCAAAGGCATCAAGTATTGATGTGTAGATACTTTTATGAATCCACTTCTGTATTCTTCTGTCTTAAAAAGGAATTGTGCTTTTATATAGTGCCAGCTATACTCATGGTACTAAACAAATATATAGGTCCCCGCCCTAGAGATGTACAGCAAGGCATTCAAGAGGAGGACAAATGCAGGTTTATTTTAGTTCACAAAAAATAAACCTGCAAAAAATAAACCTACTTCTTTAACTGAATATTTGGTACCAGGCAATTTGAGGATTTTGAGGAAAAGAGAAACCTGTGGTAGCCTGTCAGTTTTTATTCTAATTCAGGCTGTTGGGCAAAGCTTGGGAGAAATGAGCAAGTTAGTCAATTGGATCAGTTTATTCTTGGGCTGCCATTGAAGAAGACATATCTTGGAAATATTTAATACTAGCTTGGGGACCCGGCCGCGCCAGGGTTATTTGAAAAAGGCATTGTTTGTTTTGGGATGTTAGGTAATATCATTTTGGTAATTTGTAGCTTAATTTTTAGAAAAAAAGTATTTCCTGTTGTTTTTTATGAACGCTCCCATTAGAAAATGCATAAGGATGTGGGTGTACTGCAATTCCCAAAATCGTAGGCCAATCACCCCAAGCCCCACCAGTATTCAGAGTTGGCCATGTTGGATCTGTGTGCCAGGTTTGATCCAGATCTGACGTTGGCTGCTTTCAGTGCTCGCTGGATAAGGGTGAACTACAACTCCCAGATCCAAGGACAATCACCCCCAAACCCTGCCTGTATGCACAGTTGGCCATGTTGGATCTGTGTGCCAAGTTTGGTCCAGATCCATTGTCTGCTGGGTTCAGTGCTCTCTGGATAAGGGTGAACTACAATTCCCAGATCCACGGCCAATCACCCCCAAACCAAGCCTGTATGCACAGTTGGCCATATTGGATCTGTGTTCCAAGTTTGGTCCAGATCTGATATCAGCTGAGTTCAGTGCTTTCTGGATACAACTCCCAAAATCAAGGTCCACTCCCCCAAACTTCTGCAGTATGTTCAGTTGGTCATGGGGCTTCTCTGTGCCAAGTGTGGTCCTGGTCCATTGCCGGTGGGGGTCTCAGTATCGCTGGATGCAGGTGAACTACAACTCCTGAAATCAAGGTCCATTCCCACAAACTCTTTCAGTATGCTCAGGTTGTCATGGGGCTTCTCTGTGCCAAGTTTGGTCCCAGTCCATTGTCAGTGGGGGTCACAGTTTCTCTGGATGCAAATGAATTATAACTTCAAGGTCAATTTTCCCCAAATGTCTCCAGTATGTCCAGTTGGTCATGGAGAGTCTGTGTGCCAAATGTGGTCCAGGTCAGTCACTAGTGGGGATCGCAGTGGGCTGTGGGAGGCGAATCGGATTCCATAGTCCGTCCTCCCCCAGACAGCACCGGGACGTCATGGGGGGGGGGGGTCTGTGTGCCAAGTTTTGTGGAGGTCCATCATTCATGGGGGCCGCAGTGATCTCTGGAAGTGAGTGATGGTACTGCAAATCCCACCATTCGTGGCAAGTTTGGTGCAGATCCATCATTGGTTGGGTTCACAAATCTTATAAATCATGGTGAATTCTTCCCAAACCTTGTGTTCAGTTGCTGATCAATTCTTGTTTGCTGTGTGCCATAGGAAAGGGTAGGAAAGAGTTAATGGAGAGGCAGTGGGTGGGGTCATACAAATTCCACACCCATGGAGAGAGAAAGGAACCCTGGGATTGTGCATTCTGGAGGAAAAACAGAACATCTAGGAAGAAATTGTCCTCAAATGGAAACCTTAACTTGTATGGTGGGCCATATGGTATTTGAGGAGGACATTGGCAGGAGTTGGGAGACATCTTCATGGTGCCCACTATAACCTGAAATGTCCTTGGAGGGGAGTGCTTTTGGTGGCTCCTCAGCACTGTGGATTAAAGCTTTTTGTGGCGGCAGGAGCCTGTCTGTGTAAGTCAGTGGTTCTCAACCTGTGGGTCCCCAGGTGTTTTGGCCTACAACTCCCAGAAATCCCAGCCAGTTTACCAGCTGTTAGGATTTCTGGGAGTTGGAGGCCAAAACATCTAGGGACCCACAGGTTGAGAACCACTGGTGTAAGTGGACACCTCCGCCACATATACACATACACATTTTCACTTTTATTATGTGTGTAGTAGGCTTGTTTGATCCAAAAAAATAAATAGTAGAGGGTGCTGGTGGTTCGGATCTAAAGTCAATTCCGATTTTCACAGAAAAAAAGTTCAAAACTTTTCAAAACTTCTGAGACTCCCGACTCCTTCATTAATGGTTTCAAAGTGTTATTTCCTGTTTCATTGGGTGGTCTTTACTTTGAAAACAGTTGTTTTACTCCAGAAAGGAGCGGGGGAGCAAAGGGAGCAAAGATTAGATTAGGAGATTTCTAGTTTCCAAAATAACAATGTGTAACCCCAGGCAGAGAAAGGAGGGCTGCAAACTTTTATGGTCTGGTTCCCCAAGGAAAGTAGTTGTTCCCAACCCTGTTGTTCTCTTGCTACGCGGTGGCGTGGCACCTTTCCCACCCAAGCAGCCTGCCCTAGTCCTTTTCCCTTCACATCCCCGGCTCGAGCCTTGCCGAAACCCTGCCCCTCCCCACATGGTTTCCCCTCATTGGCTGGAGGCAAGCATCCCAGCATGCAAGCTACTGCTTGCCTCCAAATGCTGGGTTTTTCCGAATCACTTCCTGAGTCGTGGCGACAGTGGCTTTGAAATGGCAAGGATACTTCCGGGTTCCCAAATCGCTTCAAAATCACTTCAAAAAGGAATTAGATCCGAATTCAATCCGAATTACGAAGATTCAGGCTGGACCTAACCATGCCTAATGTGTAGATGTGTCTCAGAATATTATAAAGCATGCTAAAATGTCTTTCTTTTCCACAGATGACCGGTCGCAAAGGAAGAGTTGTGAGTAATGATGATGGCAGCATCTCATATGAATCAAGGTCTGAGCTTGACGTTCCAGTTGAAATCTTAAATATTACCGAGAAACAGAGATTCATGGATGGTGATAAGGTAACATTTTGTTGGTCTTTACAGTTAAAATGCATGCAAAGCCTTGGGTTGTATTGGCAACCCTCCTCAGCAACATTTCAGTTCAGTGTAGTAGTTTAAAATGTCTTCAGAAAGTCAAGTGGCTATGCAGGGCTAATGCAGTGTCATAAAGAGCTCCTGCTTAGAACATTGCAGCATGCTCGTCTGTCCATAAGTCTTCTATGGCAAGTATATTCTGTGGTGCGTTGGTAAGAAAAGGGAGAACAAAACCTTCTCCGTGTCCTGTGTTGTAGTTACTTTTTCCTCATTTTGACTAATGGAACTGGTTGCATCTACATTTTATGATATGTCGGGGCAAAAACTTCTTATAGAAGTTTGTCACTGAATTGCTTTTGTAAAACAAAGGTCACATTTTCTTGCTTTTCTGCAACCACATAAAAGCTGAGATCTCTTGCTAAATAACACCTCTTTCTGTTTTTTTTCTTTTCCCTCTGTCTTAAAGAATATTGCCATTATCTCTGAAGCAGCCAGCTCAGGCATATCATTGCAGGCAGACCGAAGAGCCAAAAACCAGAGGCGAAGGGTGCATATGACCCTTGAATTACCATGGAGTGCAGATAGGGCAATACAGCAGTTTGGTGAGTAGTTTGGTGTAAAAAAGGTGCTTCTCGGGTAAATACATTTGAGTTGAAGGACTTGCAGTTTTAATAAATTAATCCTAGAGTCCTCATGCTCCAGTGCGATGTGTGTTAACTTCCATAATGAACAATGTTAGGTGAACAGGAGTTCAATCTCTGCTAGGTTTTGCATAGCATCAAAAGTTAATGAAGGTAGCAGCCATCCAAAAATTTGTGAAATTCTTTATGGATCTGGCCAAGCACATATGCTATATGAGTCTGCTTTAACACTGAACCCCTGTTCTTTCCCCTTTCTCAACCTATGGAAGATGTTCTTTTTGTTTTCTATTTTTTCTCAGTTCTGGGCTCCACTGAGTTTTTTCTTCTTCTCTCTTACGGTGTAGTAGAGTTCCACGATGGTCACATGCATTCTGCAGACCATTGTAAATGGCTATAGTTTGAATTGTGGTGGATATCTGCCAAAACAATAGTTAAACTAAAACTTCTTTCACATATCTTTTGTCTTTGGGAACACCCTATTCCATCTGGATCCACTCATTAGACAAAATATAAATGATATCCTTTACAGTTTATGGAATCCTGTTTCCTCTTTTTTGCCCCAGATCGTCTCACCTCTTTAAGATGGCTTGACATAACCTGAATGTATGTGGGGCCACTTGAATGCACAACATCTGTTTCTCTTCTTAATGCACAGGGCGAACGCACAGGTCCAACCAAGTGACTGCACCGGAGTATGTCTTCCTAATTTCCGAACTGGCAGGAGAGCAAAGATTTGCCTCAATTGTTGCCAAACGACTGGAGAGCTTGGTGAGGAGAATGTTGACTAGACTTCAAGAAATACAGGATTGAAGTCTGATGCAAGGGCTGGAGGACTGGTTTTTCAGTTGTACCATTAAGCTGAATTAAGCAGCTAATGTTGGAATATACTGAGAAGGGGTGTTGGCAGCATCTCAGCTGCTTCTCTCTCTGGCTTGCCCTGTGCCTTGAAATTGTTAGAAATGTGTGTGCAGCAGAGTTGTAGCATATTTGGTGGTTATGGGCAAAGGGTTCGGCTTAATAGTTTTAGGGTATACATTGTTAAACAGATAACTGGGATGCTGTTGCGTCTTAGTGCTCTCCCAGTTCTTAATTATTTTCAAGATCTAGAAAAAGCTACTTTCAACAATGAACTTGACTACTATGTTTTAGAAACGCATTATGTTCTCACTGTTGATAGTGTCCCATTAATTACTATACTATAAAGACAAAACTTTTTCTGTTCTAATATTGGCTGGTTTGTTCCGTAGCTCAGAAGGCTGGTCTGGTTATGACATAATTTTGCATAACTTATGTTAATTAAACTATGCATTTTGTTGCATTTTTTAAAGCAAAGGATTGCAGCGTAGAGTTTACTTTTTCTCAAAAGGACAAATCTTCACACAGTTATAAAGCAGTTGTCTTTCAACAGGGCGCTCTCACTCATGGTGACAGAAGAGCAACAGAAACAAGAGACCTGAGCAGGTTCAACTTTGACAATAAGGTAAGAATCTTGGTTCTTATGTATGAAATCTTGCTCTACTCTGATTCGTCTTTTTGGGAGATTTATAGCTACTGTAATTCTGCGCTTTTTATTTATTTTTATGTAAAGATCAATATCATAAATTGGTGAGATTCTAAATCGGAGATGAAATCGCCCTGACCTTTTTAGAGGAAAAACAAAGAAATGTATAAGGCTTTGTCTACTCTGATCTTAAATCCCATGCTAAAATAAATTAGAATTGCAGATACTAATGACTTTTTTCATTTCCTTGAAAAACCTACCTTCAAAAATGTCTAGTTAAAGAAACCTGTTGGTATTTATGATGGTCACGTTAGCTTTTCTCTTTCCCTAGTACGGCCGAAATGCACTGGAAATAGTCATGAAGTCCATTGTAAACTTAGATTCAGCGTTGGTGTCTCCTCCAGCTGACTATCCAGGAGAGTTCTTTAAAGGTATACACATTCATTTTTAATATATAGCAATCACACATGCAAGTGAAAAGAAACCATTTTGTAGAAAAAAATTGAAATGGAATTGTGCATTTTAATAGTGACTCAACAAGTCAGCTAAATTTAACAGATTCTGTCCTGACTGTATGATTTTTTTTTGTTTCAATTAATTCAGAGGATCACAAACACCCTGGATAATGCCATTCTATCTACAGGCCCATGTGGTCTTTGTATGGTAGATCTTGTCACTTGTTTATGCTGCTGTGCTTATTTTGGAACTTAATATCTTCACTATCATTACCATTTGATATTTTAGTCACAATTTATAAACCTGACGCTTTAGAAAGGATCCCATCTCAGACTCAGTAAGTAACCACCTCCTTCTCTTCCTAGATGTCCGACAAGGTTTAATAGGCGTGGGACTAATAAATATAGAAGACCGATCAGGAATTCTAACTCTCGACAAAGGTATTTTGTTCTTTGGTGTCTGTGAGTGGAAAGCATTGAGCCTCAAAATCAATAATGAAAACATTCAGGTTTGAATTAAACAACAATGGGAAAGAATCTGAAGCTTGTGATATGCTTTTAAAGCTATTGAATAAAAGGTTTGCAAATGATGACCTAATACAAAAGGATCTGTGGGATGGAGAACAAAGCTTGAGATAGTTTTTGTTATGACAGGAATGGATGTGCCCCTGTTGTGGGATATTGAGTTGCTTAAGCTGCACTGAACCGGGTGGTGGAATGCAAATGCAAACAATCTCAACAGAAGAGTTTGATCAGGGAACAAATATTGTTGTGAAAGTAACTCATATAGAAAGGTGGGCCACTGGAGGTTGTTCCCTGTCCTTCCATATGTGTTTCAATAATGTAGCTTGTACCAGTTTACCAGGGATCTTGAAAGACGATGCTGTCAAGGTGATGCATGCCATATGACAGCAAATATGGAAAGTACAAGAATGGCTATCAGACTGGAAAAAAAATCAACTTATATCCCCATACCAAAAAAGGGAAACGCTAAAGAAGGCTCAAACTTTCATACAGTGGCACTTAATTCACATGCCAATAAGGTAATGCCCAAGATCCTGCAAGGAAGACTCCAACAATACATGGAGAGAAAGTTGCGAGATGAACAACCTGGGTTTAGAAAAGGCAGAGGAACGAGAGATCAAACATCTATTTCTGTTTTATTGACTATTCTAAAGCCTTTGACTGTGTGGATCATAATAAATTGTGGCAAGTCCTTGGTAGTTTGGGGATACCAAATCACCTTGTTTGTCTCCTGAGGAATCTGTATAACAACCAAGTATCAACAGTAAGAACTGACCATGGAACAACAGAATGGTTCAAGAATGGGAAAGGTGTATGACATTGCTGTATACTCTCACCCAACCTATTCAACTTATATGCAGAACACATCATGCGACATGCAGGGCTTGACGAATCCCAAGGCTGGAGTTAAAATTACTGGAAGAAACATTCACAACCTTAGATATTCAGATGATACCACTTTGATGGCTGAAAGCGACGAGCTGAGGAGCCTTCTAACCAAGGTGAAAGAAGAAAGGGCAAAAGCTGGGTTGCAGTTAAACATAAAAAAAACCAAAATGATGGCAACCAGAGGCATTGATAACTGGCAAAGAGAGGGAGAAAACATGGAGGCAGTGGCAGACTTTGTATTTCTAGGCACAAGGATTACTGCAGATGCAGACTGCGGCCAGGAAATGAGAAGACATTTACTTCTTTGGAGGAGAGCAATGACCAATCTTGATAAAATAGTAAAGAGTAGAGACATCACACTGGCAACAACGATCCACATAGTCAAAGCAATGGTATTCCCCGTAGCCACCTATGGATGTGAGAGCTGGACCATAAGGAAGGCTGAGCGAAGGAAGATAGATGCTTTTGAACTGTGGTGCTGGAGGAAAATCCTGAGAGTGCCTTGGACCACGAGAAGATCCAACCAGTCCATACTTCAGGAAATAAAGCCCGACTGCTCATTGGAGGGAAGGATATTAGAGGCAAAGATGAAGTACTTTGGCCACAAAATGAGAAGACAGGAAAGCTTGGAGAAGACAATGATGCTGGGGAAAATGGATGGAAAAAGGAAGAGGGGCCAACCAAGGGAAAGATGGATGGATGATATCCTTGAAGTGACTGGTTTGATTCTGAAGGAGCTGGGGGAGGTGACGGCCGACGGGGAGCTCTGGCGTGGGCTGGTCCATGAGGTCACTAAGAGTTGGAAGCGACTGAACGAATAAACAACAACAAAACCAATGTAATGAGCCATGGACAGCATAGGAGCTTCTAAATTTGTGTTTCTTACAAAGAACTGGGCAACTTACTTACAAATATGTTCTGTGTTCATGAAGGACAGAGCTATTGTCACAGCTTGGACAGAATCCCAACGTTTCATGATCAGGGTGTTTCAAAAGACAGGGTGTTTCACACAGATGGACCTGATTTGAAATTGCTGTATCTCTGCAGCCAGGAAAGTATTACTGCTATAGGCTTCTCCCAGAGTGCAAACAGCCCCCAGTCTTGGACATTCGCAAGACTGTGACCCTGCAAAATAAGGCTTAATGAGATATTTGCCAAGGTCTTTTTTAGATTTGAGAGCACTATTTCTTTACAATTTCCGAAAGGCCATGTCAATAAAACTCCTTACCCTTTGAAAGGGTGGGGCAAAGAGTTTTAAAGGATTGTCACTAAACTATAGGCCTTTCCCAGAGTGCAAACAGCCACTGGGCCTCTGTCATTTGCAAGATGGCGACCCTGCAACATAAGGCCTAATGAGATATTCTCAATTCGCTGATTTTTTCAATTGATTCTGGCTAATAATTGTTAATAAAACTTAGTAACTCATTAAACTGTTTGTAATTTTTTGTGTAATTGTAACCTGTTGCCATCATGAAATACCTTGCTTTGAAACTGGGTCCTTCATTTTGAAATGCCATCATTATGCCTAGCCTTTGATAGCATTTATCTTCCACACATTTGTCTATGGTAAATGGTTAGGGTTTTAGGCTGCTTATCTTTGATTCGGTCTATTTTTAAAAATAGGACTTTTGAATTTATTTATTTCTGTATTTATTACAATGTTCTTGTATTTATTTATTTTTTTAGATTACAATAATATAGGGAAATTCTTAAATCGAATTCTGGGTATGGAAGTGCATCAACAGAATGCGTTGTTCCAGTACTTTTCAGACACGCTAAATGCAGTAATCCAGAACGCCAAAAAGAATGGAAGATACGATATGGGCATTTTAGGTAAGCTTGATATGCAGAGCCCCTGTGGAAGTCAAGACATTCCATTGCCAATAGTAGCAGCAGATTAAAGCAACAGCCACATGACAACATACAACTGTATGCTGCTCTCTTTGCCAGGAACAAAACAACACCTTGCATTGGTAGCTAGTTGCTGCCCAAATGATGCTGTGCAAGCCTTGAGCAGCTAAGGCTCTTAATCCCCACTTTCTTGATAGCTGCTGCTTTGACTGTTCTGTTCTTCTACCATTTGTATTCTTGCTCCTTGGAAGGAGAGTAATGTGGAAGGTGGACTTTTTCTTCCTCATACTCTACAATCTGGGCCACATCAGTCATTGCATAGATGCATCCTTGATTGATTGATTGATCGATTGGTTGATTGTATCAGGAGTGAACCAAGGGTACAGTTGTAATGTGTTTAAAAAATACAAAGTTTAAAAACTTGGCATTATATTAACTGTCCTTTGACCAGTAGCTGGCCACTTGGAATGCCTCTGGTGTTGCTATAAGAAGGTCTTCCATTGTGCACGTGGCAGGGCTCAGGCTGCATTGTAGTTTGCTCTTCTCCACACTCTCATGTTGTGGACTCCACTTTGTGGCCCCATTTCTTAAGGTTGGCTCTGCATCTCGTGGTGCCAGAGCGCAATCTGTTCAGTGCCTTCCAAGTTGCCCAGTCTTCTGTGTGCCCAGGGGGAGTCTCTCATTTGATATCAGCCATGGATTAAGGTTCCAGGTTTTAGCCTACTACTTGTGGACTCTTGCTTGCTGAGGTGTTCCTATGAGTATATTAGAAAACTATTTCTTGACTTAAGACGTTGGCATGCTGACTGATATCTGAACACGGAATGGGCTGGAAATGTCACTGCCTTGGCTCTTTTATTATTGGCTGCTACTTCCTGGCAGATGTCAGGTGGTGCAATACCTGCTAAACAGTGTAATTTCTCCAGTGGTGTAGGGCATAGACATCCTGTGATAATGTGGCATGTCTCATTAAGAGCCACATCCATTGTTTTAGAGTGGTGAGAGATGTATTCCTCACTGGGCATGCGTACTTGATCATTCTGTATGAATTTCACTGGTACCACACCATAAGCCTTGTGTCTCTTTTTCTTAAAGATCTCGGCTCAGGAGATGAGAAAGTGAGGAAGGCAGATGCAAAAAAATTTCTGACACCAGGATATTCTACCTCAGGACATGTCGAATTGTACACTGTAAGTTCTGTGGTTCCTTTTGCTTCATGTTAGATTTGGCATGGCTGTTTCATACTCTTCCTAACTCTAAGATAATCAAACATTTGATGCCAAGGAATGTGACTAAATAGGCTTTATGCTTCAATGTCCTCCAGATAAGTGTGGAGAGAGGGATGTCTTGGGAAGAAGCAACTAAGATTTGGGCCGAGCAGACTGGACCAGAAGATGGCTTTTATTTATCTCTACAGGTAAGACTGTGTTCTCTGCAAACATCAAATTGAACGCATTTTCAAAACTGAATTGTGACTACTCAAAAGCATGTTAGTGTAATTGGTGATTTAGTAATGTTAAGTACAATGCAAGGCAGTCCAGTGTCATCATTAACTCTGCATTTTAACTCTGTTTCTTGTATTTTAACAGTTTCTTGTCTCTTTATTTTAATTAAGTAACCTGCCTCAAGACACAAGGAGAGGCGGGTCATAAATGTATTACTATTATTATGAAATAATAATAATAATAATAATAATAATTATTATTATTATTATTATTATTATTATTATTATTATTATTATTATATTATTATTGAGAGCCCCCAGTAGCGAAGCTGCTGAACTTGCTGACCGAAAGGTCAGCGGTTCACATCTGGGGAGTGGAATGAGCTCTTGTTGTTAGCCCCAGCTTCTGCCAACCTAGCAGTTCGAAAACATGCAAATGTGAGTAGATCAATAGGTACCGTTCTGATGGGAAGGTAATGGTGCTCCATGCAGTCATGACCTTGGAGAGTTCTAAGAACAACGCCAGCTCTTTGGCTTAGAAATGGAGATGAGCACCACCCCCCAGAGTCAGACACGACTAGACTTAATGTCAAGGGGAAACCTTTACCTTTACTTATTGTTGTTGTTGTTGTTACTTGGCAAGTGGGTGTCTAGGACTGGGGATGCTGGCTTGCTTAAATCCACTTTGTGAGTTTGAGAGCCAAGAAATTCGGGATTTCTTGGCTTATTCTCCCATCAAGTAGACGTTGCAACTGAGGTTTAGTAAACTCTTTAACTAGTGTCACTTAATGGGTTTGGTATTAAATGATCAGAAGTCCACAGGGCTTGGATACGTCATCTTCAAAAACAGATCATAGCAGCTCAGCAAAGCCTTCATGTAGCAAAATAATTCCACAAATTCATCATTCTTCTGCAGAACATTTGGAGAACATTAAATGTTTTAGCATGGTAAGCAACCAAAATGTTGACACTTTCTGAACTATATTTTCAATCCTCCCCCGCCCCCTTTCCAGATCCGAAACAATAAGAAGACTGCAATTCTGATGAAAGAAGTGAATCCCAAAAAAAAACTTTTTCTGGTTTATCGACCAAATACCGGGAAACAACTGAAACTGGAAACCTATGCAGAAATAAAGAAAAAATATAAAAAGGTTACTTGATGTATTGAGAAATCTCTTTTGACTACTCTCTCTATATATATATAAGTTGTCAAAATATTTTAAGTCTATGATACTGGTTTAAGAGAAGAAACAAAATACTCCTGATAAGGATGAGTTGCATTAAAAGTGTCAGTATCAGATGTTAACTGATTTAATGTGATGCCTATTTCTATGCACTGTAGTTCCTTTTGTCTCCCTTCCTCCCTTGCTGGGCCCCATGCTTTCCTCCCTTTCACATATTGACTTGACTATCCCTTTATTAATTCTCCCACATTATTATGAGTCTTCCTGAGCAATGTCACATGCGTACCTAGATAGGAAAAGTTCAAATGTAGCGAATTGCATGCTTGCAAGCCATAGTTTTCCTACTGAAATGACAATTCAGATTATGGGAACAAAACCACATCATACATTTGGCTAGAACAGCACACATCTGAACTTCCTCTAGATTCGGCTCCCTCATACCTTCAATATCATGATTTGATTTTGCATCTGAATTGATAATGACAATGATACATCTGTAACCATTGTATCATTTTCAGGTATCTTCCGACGATGCTCTGCCTCATTGGCTAGAGCAGTACACGTCATCAGCAGACACTTGCACACATGCTTACTGGTAAGTTCTTGAAGTATTGAAAGAGGGAATCGTGCAAATGGAACAGATGTTGATTTCTTAAAGCTTCATCTGGGAACATATTAGAAGGAAGCTTCAACAAAAAAAATGGGGGTACAATTGCTTTCGCTCTGTAATGTAGAATACTTTGCATGAGTGTTAGTCTTATCATGGTTTTGGAATAACTGTGTATGCGACTGATCATAGACTTCCATTGCAGTATATTTAGTTTAGCCTGAAGATAGATTGTATGAGAAATGATTGGGTTGAGTTGCAAGAAATCCAAAGAAAAGTCCGTATAAATTGATTTGAGTTTCCCCACTTTGCTAAATTAAAATCTTAAATCTAATTCCATTTATTATTGAAGGTTTCATGGCCAGAATCACTGGGTTGTTGAGGGTTTTTGGGGCTGTATGACCATGTTCTAGAAGCATTCTCTCCTGACATTTCGCCTGCATCTATGGCAGGCATCCTCAGAGCTTGTAAGGTCTGTTGGAAACTAGGAAAATTGGGTTTATATATCTGTGGAAAGTCCAGAAAGGTGTGCCTTGTTAATCACCTCTCAACAAAGAATTTACCCAAGCAGTAACAAAGCATACCTAAAAACATTCACACCTAGCTCCAACAGACAAGAATTCTTTCTCCCACCCTGGACCTTCCACAGATATATAAACCCAATTTTCCTAGTTTCCAACAGACCTCACAACCTCTGAGGATGCCTGCCATAGATGCAGGCAAAATGTCAGGAGAGAATGCTTCTAGGGCCGGAGGTTTAGCACAGCTAGTAAATCATCAGCAATTATAAGATCTATCAACCAAAAGGTTGATAGATCTTGTATTCGAAGCCCCGGGTTGGCGTGAGCTGCCAACTGTCAGCCTACCTAATTGTTTACCTAAGCAATTCGAAAACAGCTTTAGCTGTGATTAGAGAAATTAGGTACCGCTAAATAGCAGGGGAGGTATTTTGCGACGTCATAAAGAAAGAAGATCAGAAAATGCTGGGCGACCAAAAGGAAGGAGGAAGTCCTGACTGCTCTTCGTCATAAAGGAAAGAGGAACAGTGCCCCCTGGACTCGAGCTCAACCTTCCATGGCACCTCCTTCTGTTCTGTCTGTCTGTGTATTGTCTATACAAAGCAGCATTGAATGCCTGCCATGTATGTGTACTGTGATCCACCCTGAGTCCCCTTCGGGGTGAGAAGGACGGAATATAAATAAAGTGTTGTTATTATTATTATTATTATTATTATTATTATTATTATTATTATTATCATGGCCATACAGCCCGGAAAACCCTCAACAACCCACTCATTCAATTTGTTTATCCCAACTAGAATACACTTCATTAAATGGAAACTTGGAAATTCAGTATTGTTGGGACTAGCATCTAGTTGGGACTAGCAATTGGACATCGGCCTTGCAATTTGGCCAAATATGTAATATAAGTTGTTATATATTTGGCCAAATTGAAAGTTTCAAAGATCAGAACTGTTGCTCAAGTGTGCATAAACCTTCCTTTGTTAATAAGTGAAGTAAACAGGGCAAGGAGGGCTTTTCTCTTTCTACTTCATATATCTGAGAAGATCATTGAGAATCCAACATCATCATTTTCTTTATACAAGACCATCTACCTTGTATTTTACTCTTTATAGAGAATACGATGCCTGGTTTCTGCTTTAAGACCAATGAATGTCTGAATTCAATTTCCCCTTTTTCAGGAGAGGCAACTGTAAAAAAGCAGGCTTGGGCCTGGTTTGTGAGGTGGGTTTGCGCTGTCGGACGTACTATGTCCTCTGCGGCTCAGTCCTGAGCGTCTGGACGAAAGTGGAAGGAGTTCTAGCCTCAGTGAGCGGTACCAATGTTAAAATGCAAATTGTTCGGCTAAGAACAGAGGATGGACAGAGAATTGTAGGTGAGCCATACATCTTGGGGTCCCTGTGACCAGGATACCTCCATCCATTTAACACAAATCTAATGGGTTTCGGTCTGTCTTGAACAAGATGCCTACCTTTTCCCTATACTCTCATTTCCCCCCTACAGTTCTGTATCTCTGTCTGCAACCTTTTCTTCTTCTTTTGTACTATGGAAATATGGAAATACAAGCAATCCTTGAGTTACAAACATCTGACTTAAATCTCATTCCTAGTTTCAAATGAGGGTGAGACAACAGGAACGGAGAGAAATCTACCCCTTAGAAGGGAAATCCACTCCTGGAAGAGTTATTATCATAGGGGAAAGGAGCCTCCTCTGAAGCTTTCTCGCCAATCCTTGTTTCCACAGCAAACCATTTTTTTTCAAACGCCAATTAAGCACAGGGACAAAGTGAGGTGAAATCTTCTGAAGAGGGGCACAGACAGCAAAACAAACACATTCCCTGTCATAATTGGGTGTTGAAAATTTTGACTTGTTGTGGAAACAAGGATAGGTGAGAAAACTTCGGTGGAGACCCCTTTTCCTAATGATAAGTCTTTCAGGAGTGGATTTCCCTTCCAAGGGGTACATTTCTCTCATTTCCTGATATCTCAGCCCTGTTCTTAACTATGAGTCATTTGAAAATCAGAAGTTTGTAACTTGGGGGCTGCCTGTATATATTTGGCTAGAGTTACACTTAAAGAATGTCCCTGTTCCTGGCTTACGTGCAAATTTCAGCTTAAGAACAAACCTACAGAACCACTCTTGTTCCTCACTTGGAGACTGCCTGTAGTAGTAAGCTCCCATGTTTCTTTTCTAACTGATCGTCCAGATCCATACAGTCGGTTATGTCCAGCCCTGATCAGTTGTTACCCAGCAGTCCAGTTCAGTGGGGCCAAGCAAGAGTGTTACTTTAATGTGACTGATGCCTGTATAATAAGGCCCAATCCTCTCTTCTGTTCTAGGGCTAATCATTCCTGCAAATTGTGTGTCCCCCCTTGTCAACCTTCTATCAACTTCGGACCAGTCTCAGCAGCTTGCTGTGCAACAGCAGCAGATCTGGCAACAGCACCACCCACAGAGCATTACCAACTTCAACAACGCATGAGAAAGAGTCTTTGGCATTTGGCTGGGAAAACATGTATCATGGCATATTTTTTTAAAATATCAGGGACAGATTCCAAAGAAAAAACTTTCAGTTCCATCATGCTTATTAGAACTGTGCAGAAGTCAAGAGGCACCGGAAGGCTCGTCTGACTGAAAGCCAAACCTTGCTTTACAGTGGTCCATGTGTCCTTTTTCGTTTTGCTTCCTTTGTGCTCTTCCTAGTGCTTCCTTTGACAGAGTTTTATTTTTGTCCTACTTGAGCAACACATCATTGCTTCCTTTGGGTTGGAAGAGGCTTGAAAAGGCCCAACCAAGCTGTCCATTCACCTTGTCATTGCAGTGCTCAGGGTTAAATGCAGCACGTCGGTGCCATTGCTGCAGGAGAGGTCCTCAGATGCATGTATTTTCAGTTCCTATATAAAAGCAACACACATATATGTGTATATATATATGTATATATATAATATTGGTGGCAACAGAGGTCTCAAGCTATACAAAAAGAGTACATTTATTTTAAAAAAGCAGCATGAAGAGTAGGTGTTTGCAAACCATGCATTCAGGGTTGTGACCATCTCTTGGTTTGGCTGTGCATGGCTCCTCCGGATCAGGCATGAGCAAGAGGAAACCCACACAAGATGTCGGCTGGGAGAAAGAGAGAGAGAGGCACAATCTCAATGCAGCGTTGACGATTCCATTTTTCTTTTGGTTTAAAAATGGGGTCTGTACCGTGATTGCATATTATTATTATTATTATTATTATTATTATTATTATTATTGAGGCTATCTCCTCTAGTTTACGTGATTGAAATCCACAAGATCTTCTTCCATGCGCGTGAAATAAAAATCAACATTTTAAAGCTTCCTTTTTTAAAAAAAAATCACAATGTATTAATGGTGGTCTTAATGTGTGCTGCAAGAAGGGCTTTTTTAAAAAGCCTGGTTCTTTTCGTTCTTCCTTTTTTAATACTTCCAGTTCCACATGCTTCCTTCCTAGTGAGGTTTCTGGAATCGCAAGTGCTAATTTACTTCCATTTCACATGCCATCCCTTTGAAACCTGTTATATATTTTGTTACGGAATACTTTACTTGACCTGTAAATGAGATAATGAGGGAGGGGGGCAATGGCACGCAAGGGGGGGGGGGTCTGATGTCTGTGCTAGATTGATTTTTTTTTATTTCTGTTGCCCCGTAACTTGAATCCTTTTATGTTGTAAGACATTGTAGAGTTTCTCCTGGAGCTGTTTAAAATTGTAAATGTACAAAATGTGAATAGTCACTTATCTAAAAATATGGGTAAGTTTTGTTTTGCCTATAATAGTAGATGTTTATAAGAAAGTGAAGGACAATGTTTGTCATTTTTCTTGCTTGCACAGGTTGCACTATTGAAAATTTGAGATTGTATAAACCTGTCCACAGAACTGCAAGATCCCAAAATCTTGTAGGTGTCAAATTAAAAAAAAACTATTGTTCTAACAAGAAATTAATCTTGTTTTTCATCAGTTGATCACTGCGCTTCAAACGTTTTTGTGTTTTTTAAGTTATAGGATGACATGCCACTGTTTATGTCCTGCCCCAGTTCCATAGCTACAAGGCTCCTGCAACTATAGTGCAGAGGTTTCCAAACTGTTTTTTGGTCTTGGAACTCTTCAGGAGACATTTATTTTCCACAGAACCTTAACTATATTCCTGATTTGTTTAGCCACAATATCATAGAATTATAGAAAGGGAGCCACTGGTGACACAGTGGGTTAGACCGCTGAGCTGCTGAACTTGCTGATCAAAAGGTCGCAGGTTTGAATTCGAGGAGCAGTGTGAGCTCCCGCTGTTAGCCCCAGCTTCTGCAAACCTAGCAGTTTGAAAACATGCAAATGTGAGTAGATCAATAAGCACCGCTCCGGCGGGAAGGTAACAACGCTCCAGGCAGTCATGCTGGCCACATGACCTTGGAGATGGCTACGGACAACACTGGCTCTTCGGCTTAAAAATGGAGATGAGCACCAAACCCGAATCGGACACTACTGGACAATGTCAGGGGAAAACCTTTACCTATAGAAAGGGACCCCCAAAGGCCAGACAAGAAGACACAATCTGAACCCTCCTGACAGATGGTCGTTCAACCTCTGCTTCAAAACGTCAAGAGAAGGAGACTGCCACAGTCCAATATATTCTGGCTCATTTTACACTCATTCAAATACTTTCACCAATTTCCTTTTAACTTCTAGTTTTTTAGTAAATTTTATTCTTGAAAAATCTTCCCAAGTTCCCAATTGTCTTTTATCTCAAAAAGCTGCACAAAAAAGAAAAATAAACAAGAAACGTGGAATCAACATGAAAAATCCACTACATATTAATCACTCTTACGATGAGGTGACAGTAACTACATACCTGAGTAGAAATAGTTGTGGCACAAAATAGCTATAATTGAGACTTGAAATCAAATGGTTGGCCTTGCGTGGTTTTATAGAAATGTCACTTTTAAGATTTTTGTATGTGTGAAAACGTTCACAATGCTTTTGTGCAATCCTAGGGTCCTATTGTCAATGAAGGAGCGGTCCTTTGCGTTGTTAGATGCTTTCCAAGAAGACTGTCTCAGAAGACTTGTCGACAGAATGCCGATTGATTCTGCTTGACGGGCCATGGCTCAATGTTATGGAATCCTGGGAGCTTTTCTTTGTGACTGCTCTCCTTGCTTTCCTCTAATGCCCTGCCACTGCTTTCTCGCCACAAGGTTGACCAGTCTGAGGGAGGACACTGGTCCCTACCTCCATTTCAAAGAATGAGATGAAGAAGAGGGAGAAAGCTTCCTTTCTGCTGCCCTGGGAACTAGGACTCAAAGGAGCCATGGGCTCAAATGACAGGGAAGGAGATTCCACCTGAACATGAGGAAGAACTTCCTGACCATAAGAAGATCTGTTCAGCAGTGGAACTCTTCTGCCTCAGAGTCCAGAGGAGGCTTTTAAGCAGAGGTTGGATGGCCATCTGTCAGGAGGGTTTTGATGGTGCTTTTCCTGCCTGGCAGAAGGGGCTTGGGCTGGAGGGCCCTCTTTGGGGTCTCTTCCAACTCTAGGATTTTATGCATGGAACCATAGGTTCAAATGATAAGGAAGGAGATTCCACCTGAATCTTTGGAATAAATTCCTAACCCTAAAAAAAGCTGTTCAACAGTGGAACTCTGTCATAGTCCAGAGGAGGCTTTTAAGCAGAAGCTGGATGGTCATCTGTCAGGAAGGTTTTCATGGTACTTTTCCTGACTTATGCCAGAAGGGGCTGGACTGGATGGCCCATGTGGTCTCTTCTAAGGCCCCTTCCACACAGCTGCATAAAATTCCACATTGAACTGGAATATATGGCAATGTGGACACAGATAACCCAGTTCAAAGCAGATCTTGGGGATTAGCTTGATATTAAGGGTTATATGGCTGTGTGGGCCTATAAATCCACATTGAACAGGATGATACTTAGTGTGGACTTCCACACAGCTGAATAAAACCGCACATTATTTGCTTTGAACTGGAATATATGACAGTGGACTCTGATAACCTAGTTCAAATGAGATATTGTGGGATTTTCTGTCTCGATATTCTGGGATAGAAGGCTGTGTGGAAGGGGCCTCAGATAACCCAGTTCAAAGCAGTTACTATTGCTACTTGGTCCTTATACAGATTCCTCAGGAGAGAGTCAAGGTGACTTGGTATGCCCATACCACCAAGAACTTGCTACAGTTTATGATCCACACAGACAAAGGCTTTAGAATAGTCGTTAAAATAGAAATAGGTGTTTTTCTGAAACTCCCTGCCTTTCTCCATTATCCAGCGGATATTGGCAATTTGGTCTCTTGTTCCTCTGCCTTTTCTAAACCCAGTTTGTACATCTGGCAACTCTTGCTCCATGTATTGCTGGAGTCTTCCTTGCAGGATCTTGAGCATTACCTTACTGGCATGAGAAATAAGGACCACTGTACGAAAGTTTGAGCAGTCTTTAGCATTTCCCTTTTTTGGTATGGGGATATAAGTTTATTTTTTCCAGTCTGATGGCCATTCTTGTGTTTTCCATATTTGCTGGCATATGGCATGCATCACCTTGACAGCATCATCTTTCAATATTTTAAACAGTTCAGCTGGGATCCTGTCATCTCCTGCTGCCTTGTTGTTAGCAATGCTTCTTAAGGCCCATTCAACCTCACTCTTCAGGATGTCTGGTTCCAATTAACTCACCACACTGTCAAAACTATCCTCGATATTATTATCCTTCCTAAACAGATCTTTTGTATAGTCTCGCCATCTTCTCTTGATCTCTTCAGCTTCTGTTAGGTCCCTGCCATCTTTGTTTCTTATCATGCTAATTTTTGCCTGAAATTTACCTCCAATGTTTCTAATTTTCTGGAAGAGGTCTCTCATTCTTCCTATTCTGTTGTCTTCTTCCACTTCCATGCATTGCTTGTTTAAAAATGGTTCCTTCTCTCTTCTGGCTAACCTCTGGATTTGTGCATTACCTGGGCATATCTCTCCCTATCACTGATACCTTTTGCTTTCTTTCTTTCTTGGGCTACTTCCAGTGTCTCAGCAGACAACCATCTTGCCTTCTTGGTTTTCTTTTTATTTGGGACATACTTTGTTGCCGCCTCCTGAACAATGTTGCAAACTTCTGTCCATAGTTCTTCTGGGACTCTATTTATTAAATCTAGTCCCTTCAATCTATTCTTCGGCTCCATTGCATATTCGCTAGGAATGCTAGTGAAACCTGGGATCAAAAAATACTTTTCTAAGATCTACAGAGGTAACGGCGCTCCATGCAGTCATGCCAGCCACATGACCTTGGAGGTGTCTACAGACAACGCCGACTCTTCGGCTTAGAAATTGAGATGAGCACCAACCCTGAGTCGGACACAACTGGACTTATTGTCAGGGGAAAAATTTACCTTTACGTACAGAGATACTCTAAGGATCACCTCAGCAAGCGAGAGTCCAAAAGTGGCAGGCTAAAACCCTGAAACTGAAGCCATAGCTGATAAGGAATGAGAGACTCCCTCCTGTGCACACAAAAGACTGAGTGACTTGGAAGGTGCTGAACAGACTGCGCTCTGGGCCCACAAGATGCAGAGCCAGCCTTAAGAAATGGGGCCACAAAGTGGAGTTCATGACATGCGAGTACAGGGAAGAGCAAACCACAGATCACCTATTACAATGAAGTCTGAGCTCTGCCACATGCACAATGGAGGACGTTCTTATAGCAACAACAGAGGCACTCAAAGGGCCCTTCCACACAGCCCTATATCCCAGAATATCAAAGCAGAAAATCCCACATTATCTGAGTGTGGACTCAGATAATCCAGTTCAAAGCAGATATTGTGGGATTTTCTGCCTTGATATTCTGGGATATAGGGCTGTGTGGAAGGGCCCTGAGTCCACACTGCCATATATTCCGGTTTAAAGCGGATAATGTGGGATTTTATTCAGCTGTGTGCAAAGGGCCTAGGTTACTTACTTAGGCGATCCCTCGTTGTCTGAGTAGGATTGTCTTCCAAGATCGGTGTACTGGCGGTGGGTCCTTAGGTGACTGTGGAGCCCTATTTTTGATCCACATCTTCTCCCGGAGTGAGGGCATTGGTTTCCAGGTGGAAGGCGGTCCCGGTTGGGGTTGGCTTGATGCGCCTTCCTCGGCACATTTCTCTCTTTCGCCCTCCATTCGTGCCTCTTCAAATTCTACAGCACTGCTGGTCACAGCTGACCTCCAACTGGAGCACTCAAGGGCCAGGGCTTCCCAGTTCTCAGTGTCTATGCCAGAGTTTTTACGGCTGGCTTTGAGTCCATCTTTAAATCTTTAAATTTAAGGCCTAGGTTATAGGGCTGTGTGGACAGGGCCCGAAGTCATAATAATAATAATAATAATAATTTATTTGACCAGTCATATGGCCATTTCAAAATAGAACATGAGTAAAAAACAAGGCAAAAAGGTGAGGACAGCAGCTGACCTTCTATTTATAGTCAAAATCTTATTTTCCTGGTTCTCCTTTCAGGAAATGTGCTCTTTTCTTGATAACTTTCAGAATAAAAAGGCTTCCTCTGATTATGGTGGAACTTTCCTGTCCTTGCAAGAGGAATGTCAGAAGATCATTTGTGTTGAGGGACCTAAAGCTGGATAATATTGGATGTAAATATCTGTATTGTAGTTCAGTATATGCTGGACAGTCAGTCAATAAATGTTTGATATCTTCCACAGTTTCTTCTCCCCATACACAGAATCTCTCACTTCTTGGGGTGTTACAGTAAAGCCCGGTTTGCATCATAATACCGAGTTGTTCAAACCTAGCCCTACTATATATTCTTCTTAAGGGTAGCGGAAGTGGAATAGTCAGATAGTGTTCCAAATGAATATTCCTTTTGTGAGAAGCTAAAAATCTTGTGGCTGAAGACCTACCTATGCTCTCTAGGTCCAGCTCTGCATCAACATCCCTAATGCGCCGCTTGAGCACTTGCCCTG